TGTATATATATAACATATATATATATATATATAAATATATATAGATATATATATATATGGTGTGTGTGGACGTATATATAAAATGTGCGTGTCTCTGTGTGTACTCACTTAAGTATGTACATACCCTTCTTCCTTCTTCCTGGCTATCTCCTGCTCCTCCTCTATTTCCTGCACCTTGGCCTTCATGAGAATGCTGATGCGCTTAGCGAGATCGGGCTTACGTGCACGTGACATGAGCTGAATAGCTATGTCGTATGACTTGGGCAACGTAAGCATGCAGGCCAAGTCCATGATACGCAGTGGCTTGTCATGTTGTAGCGCAACCTGTGTGAAAATAGCGGAGTTGGTAACGAAATAAACCGTGTGGTGAGAAACTAAGCAATGCGTGTGATGGAATAAGCCATGTGGGCGGAGTGAGTGACTTGCACTCAGTCGGTGTACCGTATGACTAGGGCAGAATGAGCATACGTGATAGATTTATATTACGCCGAGGGTTGCTCTGTTGCTATACAATCGGCGTCCAACCAATCCTATACTCTCCAGCATACAGTTACCACCCAAAGCTTGTCCTGAACTTCTTGCATATACTATGTACACAGGCATAGGCTCACAAGAACGCAACCCTCTACATACACCCACACACATTACGCTCTGCATGCAACTAATGGTATACTCTCCAGCATACAGTTGCCACTCAAGGCTTGTCCCGAACTTCTTGCATATACTATATACAAATCCACAGGCTCGCACACACACATACGTTCCGATATGTGTCGCTATTAGCCAGAAGGCAACCCTACACATGAACCCACACATAGTACTACCTGCCTGCAACTAATGTCATACTATCAAGCATACAGATAACAACATACATATACACCCACATAGCTACCAGAGGTACTTTGGCCTCAAGAATGGTATTCCTATATATTTCTAACACACTACCATGCTTCACTACACACATAAACTTGCATACCTAGATTATCTATAGATACATTTACACGACCATGTCGGGTACATACGCACACAGCTACTGCACTCCTAAGTATTAAGGCGGCTGTGTGTTACATTACCACCCACACACACCCACACACGCCACAGACACACAGTCGCACATAGATAAGTTGATACACACAAACTCATACATACGTTGGTGTGTGTACACAATGATAATACTATCTGAATATGGCAGATCACAATACTATATCTCACAATTATGCATATCATATGTAATACACAACACATCTCGCCATAATAAGCCACACACACACACACACACACACACACACACACACACACACACACACACACACAC